TATTATTATTATTATTATTATTATTATTATTATATTTTGACTGGAAAATAGGGGGTCATCTTATACGCCGGGTCGTCTTATACGCCGGAAAATACGGTATTTCCATATAATATATGTGAAACTGCTCTTGTCATTTATCTACTCATCATCTCTTAAGAACCATTGATGGCAGTAAAATCTATTAGTTAGTAATCTTATAAAGCCAGGGTATAGGAACCTGTGCTGCATTCCTTCAGGGATAATTTCTCAATGCCTGAAATAAGTAGTGGGCAAGACTACTCTCCATTTCTGTCTATCATACATATACTTTCTGCTACCTCTTTTTCATTCTTTCCTGGCCCCAATTTTTATTTTTTTGTCACTCCTCTCCTGCCCCATTCCCATTCAGTTGGTTTCCAGGAAAAGGGTAGTTCCTCCCCCCCCCCCACACACACACCCAGAGACCTGATGACTTGAGGAAGGGCTTTGAAATGAGTCCAGGGACCACACATGGAACTATGTATGTAAACTGGCTTGAAATCAATGAGATGTACATTTTGTTAGATAGTCTTAATAAATTTCAGGAATCTGATGTTTTCTGAATTGCCATCTTGTGGGGAGCTGTGTATTTTGCACAAAAAGGGAATAGTTTTTGCATTTTAGGAGAGAGTTCTATCACATTTACTACTGTCATGAAGTCCAAGGGTTCTTTGCTGTAGATGTTTTACTAAAATATGGATGAGAAACTGCCAGGGAATGAGAGCATTCCAGCCTTCGTACTGTTGAATCTCTCTTTAGTAGATGTGGAAGAAAGCTGTGAGAAAAATTTTGTTTGGGCCCATAACAAGGCATTTGGACTTCAAAACAAGTAAGATGGACAGTACATTTTGTTTGAGAGCTAGTCAGCACTTCCAGTAGGGCCCTAATAGGCTTCCAAATAGGGATTGCTCCCTCTGCATGCTTTAAGTAGACATGCCTTGTTTAAAAGTAAAATAGCATCGCTGTTATAGCAGTTGTATGTGTTCAAGTCTTTTCTTACATATGGAGACCCTAAGGCAGGGGTCGGCAACCTACGGCCCGCAGGCCGGATCCGGCCCAGAGAGG